CGTGGCTCTAAAAATCAGAAAGAAGGAGAAGCGAGGTGATTTTATCGAAAATTCCGTGAGCCGGATCCACGCTTGAAATTCTAATGGCGGAACGCGGGAAGGAAGCGAGATCTACATAGAATTGGCCGTAATACGGTGGAAAGGTAAATATGTACGGTTTTCGCGCGCGAACGAAAAAGCCACCGGCAATCGTGTTTCAGCGCGGATAAAAAGCCGCGCGCTCTCAATAATTGATCGGCGCGCGGCGATTAATCGCGGAATTTATGCGGACCTCGGTGACGTTATGTATGTACTTTTCTCCACGTACCAGGGCCGATACTTTTGCTTTTCGATTGAAATAAGAATGAGGAACACGCGATTTAATCCAACCCCGTGCTGAAATAAACAGACCGGAGGAAGAGTCTATATATGTGTATATACATATATATATATATATATATATATATATATATACAGGGTGTCCCAGAACTGACGGAAAAGTTTTAATGGCAGATTCCTGGTATCATTTGAAGACGACTTTTCTTTGGTGAAAATGTTGAGGGAACCCATCATTTTCAGCATATTCCTTATTTTTGTTATTAAGTATCTTTAGAACTAAGCCTTATATTAAAATTCTATTAAAGCAAACTCTATCTCAAATTAACTGAAGAATGTAATTCTGTTAATATTTTTATTTCCACAAGGTTTAGTTGCCAAAAAAGCCTTTATCTTTGACTGCTTATAATTCGAAAATCATTGGTGTCTCGACATTTTCGCCGAGAAAAAATTGCCTCCGAATGATACCAGGAATTTGACATTAAAAACTTTTCCACTAGTTCTGAACACCCTGTATATATATACGCGGGATATTTCGAATTCCGTCGTTGTGCTTCCTTCCGTTCGTAAGATTCCTCCCGGCAATTTAGAGTCGATCTTTTCCTTCGTGTCTCCGTGTTCTTGTCTTTAAATTTTCTTTTTCTATTTTACACACACACACATATATATATATATATATATATATATATATATATAATGTCGGATTAAAGTTGAAACATCAAAATAACATCCCCTTCAAACCTTATGACAGATAATATTTTATTATCAATATTTGCGCGTGCTGGAAGTTATATAATTCTTGCAAATCACGAAATTTCCACTCGTTTAAAACTCGGAATTCATCGACATTTTTATTCAGGACAAATTTACTGCAAATGTGCGAAGAGCACGCGGCCAGCTATGCGTGAAGCTGTGCGTTGCGCATTGCAGGTTGAGCGAGAAAGAGTTGCGAGGCCAGTAACCGCTCTGTATTTTATACAGCGGATTTGCGCACTTTCTTTCGTTTTTTTTTTTTTATTTAGAATTGTTATGTTTATTTCTCTCTAGGCCGATTATATGCGTTTTCCGCTCCGCGTCAATTAAGAATCCGCTGAAAGCTTTCGCGCGTTAAGGTAAATTTTACTTAAGCAATTGGCTGACTCTTATTTACCTCTGCACATCTGTAGAGGTATGTTTATTGCGCCAATTATTTATCGCTTTTCCGCTGTTAAGCTGTACTCTATACATTCGAGGCAATATAAAATAGTTATAACGATGCGACGTTTTCAACGCGATTTATGTTCATACATATATTCCAAAAGAGTTGTTATTTATAGTTGATTTTTATGTCACAAAAGAACTCGAGAATCAAACGATTAAGAGATTATTGGCAACAAAACATTGCAGATTGAAAAAAATAAGCTGTGCGCACATTTGTACAATATTTCATTAAAAAATAAATCTTGCATTTTTAGAGAAAATTCTAACAAGATTACTTCTTATCCAATTTCATTGCGTCGCATACATTTGTATTCGTCGTTAAAAAATAATTGATAGACTCGATTGATCACTAAACAAGAAAAATATGAAACATTTATTTTGCCATCACCCTTCTGTTTTTTTCAAAAATATATTCATCGAATGAAAAGAGTCACAGTCAACTTCTAACTTGGATTCAATTTTCCATCGCGGATGAGACATTTAATTCCACAGGGGTGGAGATAAAAGCTGAGATTTTTTCACTTATCCCACCTCTTTGTCTACATAAAATTTTTATTCGGATAATGCCGGGGAAGCTTTCTCGCGCGTACTCGATATGAATTCAATTATAAACTTTATTTTCGTATTTCTCGTCTATTTTTTTCGAACTCTCGGCCACAGACGGTAGCAGAGCGTCGCGTCGTTTTAATCCGTTCTCCACAATCGCGGCCAATCATCGAATCCCTTTGGACGAATCCGAATGTCGACCGTCGGTCGAACCTGCGCTACAAAATTAAACGGCGCCCGTCGAATCGCGTTCAGCTTTCGCTCGACCGACCGGCTCGGCTCGGCTCGGCTCGGCTCACCTATATTTTATTGACGTCCGGCTGGCGGTATTGCGTAAATTCGCGGACGGACTAGACGACCGCCCAAAACCCAATTTACACGATTCACTCCGAACGATCATCACGGGTGAATCATTTCAAGTGCGTGTGGCGTGTTCCATGAACGCGCGCGGGTTTTCGCTTAAGCGCGTCATCGCAAATCCACAATCAAATGCGACGCGTTTCGCAGAAATTAATGGCCTTTTGAAAAATACAAACACGAGAGACACAGAGGGATTTGTTCGCATTCGAGGAGAGAAAAAGAGAGAGCGCCCGCCATTGATTATATAATAACACCGGGTTTTGTAATGGCATAACTAAATCGTTCATTTTCACAAGACTGCGTTCAAGCAATTTTCATCAATTTTATAACAAGCGCAAAAATCGGATCTAATAAAACTCACTTGTAGAATTTTTAGAAATTATATATTTCTAATGAGATATAAAAAACTGTAACAAGTACAGTAATAAGAACTTTCACTCCCTCTCTTCCTGAATATTTTATATTTTCAGTGTATTTTAATATCACGATATATTTTTTTATCTCAAGAGAGCGTAGAATTTATATATAAATAATATATAGGTATAGTATTTTATTTTTTTTTAATATTACGCAATACTAAAATGTATATGTTATTTAATGAAAACCTATGAAATCAATATTGTGTTTAATTTAGCGTGCTTTTTACAATAAAACTGTTCAAGAGAAGTTAATATTTCTGCATTCAAATGCAATTAGTAACAATAATTCATGATATGTGCCAAACCTAACATAGATTCACTACAGTACCTATGTATGGGTGCAATGATGAATGATAGACACGTGTCTCTTTCAGGCAAAACGCGAATACAGTAAGAGAGAGAGAGAGAGAGAGAGAGAGAGAGAGAGAGAGAGAGACCAGTCGAGGTATTGAAAAGCATTGTTGATTCAATTTGGCTAAAAAACGTGAGCTATGTCGTTTCCGATATAAACGATTCAATTGTAAATCACTTCACATAGTCTACACCGAGAGTTTTCATTTCTGCTGCAATATGTATATATTATATATATTATATACATATATATTTTTTTAATAAGTCACCATATGGAAAAATTGTCAAGAGAAAGAGAATTTTATGTGTTAAAAACAATTTTTGGCATTACCATTTTTCAGGATATGTAAATTATAATTTATAGTATTTTTTGCAAAATTGAGGCGCAATTAATTCTATACAATTTTCTTTAATCAATTAAAATTAATCACGCCTCAATTGTGCAAATAATATAAATTCTAATTGATATTTTGAAAAATCGGGGAGTCGTGTAAATTCATCTGCAACGCTATCGTTAATCGAAAGTGGTAGAACGTGGACCGATTTTGCGTGCGGTATCGCGTTGCGGCCAATGGACGCGGAATACCACACGTTACAGGAATTATCGATCATATCACAGGCAAACCATCCGATTACATTGATTCTTCCAGCGGCAATATCGGTAAGCTTAGTGGCTTGCGTGATCGTTAACATTATCGGCATAATTGTTCTCTTTCCCTTTGCGGAGCTTAATCGATCCGCCGTTAGCATAAAAGAGCATCGCTCGCGATGCTCAATAAGGCGGGAATCGCAATCAGAACTTCACTCGCCTGTTAAAAATGAGAAATTACACGAACCTCGGCGATTACTTCGGTTCACCGGCAAGCAACGTCGAGCGAGTTTTGTATCGACACGGGTCTGATACTTATAGAGAAGGTCTTTCTCGACTCGTGTATAATAATCAGCGGCATGGACTAAAAAGTGGCAGGATAATATACGATTAAGGTTAATTAAGCAAGACGATGAGACGCAACTGCAAGCAAATTACGACTGAATGACGGAATCGGAAGTGAATGTGCCGTCACGCGATAAATGCCGGATAACCGAGCGGCTATTAGTACGCCATGTATAGTTATCGATCCCGAAGTTACGAGTTTCTAACTGAACTCGATTCTACGCTTGTGCATTTTATCATTAATTGGCTCTGTTCACTTTTTCTCCTCTATTTTAAACGAATGATAGTCTTAGAAAAACCCGAGATATGTTTTTACAATTACATCTTTTTGTTCCGTTTAATGTCAGATTCAACGAGATTAAATATCAGCATTCAGTTACATTATACTTTGTTTGTTATAACGAGCGGTATTTTAATTCCAAAGATTAAGCGCTAACATAAATTAAGCATTCTCTGTTTCAAATATATACACGAACTTTTTATTTCTGTTTTTATTTTCAAATTATGGAGAAATGAATTTTTTTGCGCTCGCCGTTGCGCAAATCTGTCTGTAAAATATATAATAAATTTGCTCGCGCCTTTTAGAGCGTTAATGAAACTTTTAACTATTCGTCTGAACACGAAATCGATTATCGATCCGCGCGACGGCGGATATGGGTATCCGTAAATTTCACGCAGACAATTTCTGCAGTGTAATAAAATTTGTAATTTTATAGTCTATATGGCACATCTCATCTCCCATTTTACCTCACCTCATCCTTTTTATCCGAGCCAGTGGAACGCGCACGCAAAGCGGAAAACACGGGCTCGGAGCTTATCTTTACTCCGCGGGGACGCACTTTCGAACCGAAATCATCTTTATCTTTCTGTTACAGGCGACGCCGGACAATATTTCCGGATTAGGCCGATCAACAGCTCCGTGCTAGAAGGCAACGAGGTGACGATTCAATGCGAGGTGGGGAACCGAGCCGGTACCGTCCAATGGGTCAAAGACGGATTTGCCTATGTCATACAGCAGAGTGAGTTCGATAAGTTCGAGTATCAATAATTTTTACCCTGTAAATGCGCGACTTTTCCGGAGCGGCCATCAAATTCACGTCGATGCTCTTCGTTGGCGATATTTCCTCGATGCACATAACAAGAGAAACGTTTCACTGGCGGTCGTTTTTTAATTTTTAATTTTTAAATTGCAAACAATGGGTTTATTAAATTAAATTTAATATAAATTTCAGTTTAATAAAATTTGCTAATAAAAATTGTATTCCCTAATTTATTGCTCATTTTTTTACTGGAATTTTGAATTCAATTTTAATCTTGAACAATGAAAAATGTTAAACAGGTAAAAATTGTATTCCCTAATTTATTGCTCATTTTTTTTACTGGAATTTTGAATTCAATTTTAATCTTGAACAATGAAAAATGTTAAACAATTGCGATGAACAAAAACAAATTCTATTCTATTATAATAATATTATTTTAAGGTATAACGTAATTTTCCAATGAGAGAATTTCGCTGCGGCATAGGCGTAATGAATTTTGCAATACGATGTATAATGCGTAATTTTAATTTAAAGTTAATTTATATATTGTGGAATTTTTATGAAATGAAAATTATTTAACTCCACGAACCATGTATCTACATCTGGGCTGCAACAATAAATCCACTTGAAAAGAAAATAGCTTGGAAAGCTTTGTATTTGATATAAATGTATAACAAAGGTTAAATTATACGTAATTGTTATCGCAAGAGCGCAAACCGTGTATGTTAAATTCGGTAAAGATAGGTTGTTTTGTACTTGTGCAATTAACGCTTCGGGAAAGCCACTCTAAATCCACCAATTAAAACCACGCTCAACAAAAGCTGCTTATGTATTTTCAATGGGAAATTGTGTTTTCGTTTCACTAAGGATTGGTTTACACAGGAATTTTCGGAAATACATTAACGCGCTAATAAAGAACCGCCGTGTTGCTCTGTTGTTTCCTATCTGATTTCATGGATTTACATCGCGATGCAACATCACAATAATATACAACGTGCAACATACAGATGCATATTCCTACGCGAAAGTGTTACATAGTTTAGTTTATATTGTATTTCAAATCTGATCTTCAAACTGAAATTTTGTTGGAACATTTTTAATGTTATTTTCAAAAAGAACATTTTTACAAAATCTAATACAGTTTGAAAAAATTGAAATAATCTAATTTTCTGCGGCCAACAATTTAAAATTTAAAGAGACACGCGAGAGAGAGAGTCAAGTATAAAAATTTTCCATTCAAAAACGAATATTTTTCTCGACAAATTATTAATCTGTAAGTGGCTAAATAATTTTCTTTGCGCGCGCATCTCGAAGAAAGAGTTTGACATATCGATGAATCAAGAGATATCGACAAGTTGTGAAAATTAATCTCCATTTTAAAAAGCTATATCCGATATATAAAATGACTTTTACGATAGTAGTTAAGGAACCTAGCGGCGGCGTGGATTTATTATTCAAGCCCAGCTGTAAAAATGGGGACCTCGCGCGTATATACAAGAGCGAACGGATCATCGACGCTGCCGAGCGGTTAATTATCCGGCGGTCTCGTCGACTTCCGGCTATCGTAATCGCATCGTTTCGCCGAGAGTGCTCGCATACCGGGCGAATAAGCGCGTAATAAACAGAGAGCTGGAATTAGAACTGCGATATTAGCTGCGTATCCGCTCGTAAATCACGGTTCGCTCCTTAGCCGCAGGACGAAAACCATTGACCAATCGATTCCGTTCAGTCGCGTTTAACGAGAGCCTACGTACAACAACGAAGCGTAACGATTATCCGATTAATAATGTTACAGACGGCGAAATCGTGGGCCATCCCAGGCTGAAGCTGATCGGTGATCAGCAGGCTGGTATTTTTAACCTACAAATCACCGATGCGTCTCTGACCGACGACGGCGAATACGAATGTCAGGTCGGACGATACATGCGGATCAAACCGATTCGCGCCAACGCTCACCTGATCGTCACCTGTGAGTCCAACTATGATTTTGCACGAATACCAAATTTTACTCAGGCTTGTCCAAGTTGGTTTTTATTTTGTTTCGATTTTTCTTAACGATTTCTCGTTCTTAATATCATTTTTCGGATACGACAAACGTAATGCTGATTTAGAAATCTGATGTCTATTGTCTTGTGTATTTCCTCTAAAAATTTGGATAAGCCTGGGAAAATTCGATAATTTAGCATGTATTTGTTGTTTGAAAAATGTACATAGAAACGGAATATATTTAAGATTGAGGAAAAGTCGGTATATAAAACGTATAAAATATACGTCGTACGTTAATTAAAATTGTCTTAACACAACAATGTGTCTTGGACGATCCGAGGGGAAAAATACCTGCTCGTTCCTGCTTGAGAATAATCGCGGCCGTGTCGCGCTGACGATAGTTGTTCCAGCGACACGGGCTACGCCCGTTAGTTAAAATGCAAAGCTTGCCGTAACACGAATTACAAACTCGCGATCTCGAAACCGCGCTTAAAGTTAATTTACGCGGTCGTACGAACGTTACGTTTGTGTGTCGCCGCGAAAGAGCGACTTTCGGGGTTTCGCGGGAGCAGTTTATACGCCCTCCGGCAGGCCGACGACGACGTCGACGTTTGTTGGTCCGGGCGCATTTCCGTGCCATCGACGATGTCTTTCTCTCTCTCTCTCTCTCCCCTCCGTCTTTCTCTTCCGTCCGTAAATTTATGCAAAAGTTATTAAACGCGACAATATGCATTCACCAGCCAGACCGTCGCGCAGCAAACTAGTTCGCGAAGCGGAACGAAGCTAGTTTTCGCGCGCGCGCAAGCGTACGAGCGACCTTTCCGCCGCGACACCGGGACTGACGTGCTCGCTTTTGAGGGATGACGCTTTAATACCGAGAGTTCCGCGGGATCACGAAAGCTCGTCGGGACCATTCACCCCATTTGCTCCATTCTTTTTTCGACCCGCGTTCGCGAGAGCAGAAAACATCACGCCTCGATACGTTATGACCAGAATGCGCGCGTTGTTCTCTCGCGAGTACGTTGCAAAACTAATTCCGACGCTGTTTCCGCCGGCATCGATAACAAACACGTTCGTACAAAGACGGTTTTTTTCACCGCGAAAATTTTTATTTATTTATTTATTTTTTATTTGTTTAAATACGCAATTGTAACTTTGACATATACGTATCTTTTATCGAGTCTCATTGTTAAAAAAAAGAAAAAGGAATATGTAAATCTTTGGAACCGTAACTATAATTTTAATCAGCTGAATCTTCTCTTCTCTCTCTCATCAGATGTACGTATAAATTATGGAAGTATGAAATTACCATAACGAGAAACTCGTCGAGTCAATATGACTTATCTACTTAATGCCTCAGTGATTTGGTGAGCAAGCTCGAGCTTCCCGAAACATGACCTATTTTCCGCGACAGATATTCCATTAAATTAAAAAGAGAATACATTTTATTATCTTTCAGTTTCTCTTTCCCGATATAAGAGTCTTTAAAGAGAAATTCTGACAATTTTCTCATAAAATTCGAAAATGTAAGAATATATAAGAATAATTACCATGAACGAGTATATGAACTAAAATAGCGATACTTTAAAAAACCATTACACTTGTAACTTTGAATACTTTTTCCCTGGAATTTCCAGGCTGTATACGAAGCGATTATGGCTGGAATATATTAACCACGATATGCAAACCATCCGTTCTCTCTCGAGAGAGCAAGTCGAAGGGACGTTTCGCACCTGCGCTTTTAATAAAACCGGGCACATTACTAAATCGTCATATCCGTCAAATCAATCTTCCTCGTTGCGCACGTCCGCGTTCATTACCATCGCACACGTATCACGGTGATGTTGAAAATACACGGCGACGGCGGGCAGACACCGTCGACGATAATCCACTGCGGGTCAAATGGATCATCGCGCGAAAATCGCGCAAATCTCGAGCGAGATCGTTAACGGGGCGACATCGAGCCCCGGTAAATCTCATGCCCGAACGCGCCTATTTTGTTAACGCGTCTATGTGTTTGTGTTTGTCTATGCGTATCCGCATATTTTACGTACACGTTTGTACGTAAAATGCGCATCGCGCAAACACACAGGCGCAATCTCGGCGTCGTTAATTACGGCGCGTAACGGTATTTTCTCGATCCCGTATACCGGTAAACGGATATAATTGTATTTCGCTTTACTCTCCATCGATACCCGACCCGTGTCGTCGTCATATTTCCTCTGCCTTAATAATTCAAATCGATTTCCCGCTCGTTTCCCCGCATCGACCGTTTTGCCGCTATTATCGCCAAATAGCCGAGTTATCCTGTCGCGGACAGACTTACAGGCATTCGGCCGTAACAAGTTTTGTGAAAATAATTTGGTCGGAGAAAAGGTCTTCTATCGTTTACGCGCGAATGAAACGCACTTAACCGACAAAATGCAGATCGATTACAGCTCGGGTAACTGATCGATTTTGCAACACTTTACTCGAATAAATCGTATTAATCAATGAAAAAAAAATACCAGTCGATAATTAAGAAAATACGATAAATTTGACGCAGTTATTCAGCAGAGAAAGACTAATTGTGATAAAGGATGTAATAAATTCGGTATACTTTCTTCGATGAGAAATATCGACAGATTATAAAAGTAGATCTACCAGAGATGTTTTACATAAAAAATTAAATGTCCAAGATTTAATCTATTCGTGTTTCATAAATCTGGCCATTTTATTAATTGTTACGAAATCGTAACATGTTTTTCTACTTTGAAACAGCAATGCATAAAAGGATGAGAGGTAACAAATGCATATCTCATAACCATTTGAAACTCGCACTTCTCGACAACGACAATGCACGTGGAAGTATTCCCATGTACGTGATTATTCTCGCGAAAGAGACTATTAACACGCGCGTAATGTGGCTTGCGAGTATTATTGTGTGCCTGTTTCTTAAATGAAACGGCAGTAAAAATACGCGCGTCCGGGTATTCTCCAAGATGGGGAGCGAATTTTCCCATTTGCGTTTCGATGATGTCGGCTATGATAATGGCATTTTCTCGTGACAATAACACGCTTCTCGGTATCTTTAATTGTTCCAGAGTATCATCTGCATAACAAGAACGGCATACAAATCGATGTAATTTCATGTACCGCGGAATATCGAAAGAGAAACGAAATTGCTGTCTATTTGTTGCTATTATTATTGTTATAAAAGCAAGTAAGCCTTTAATCTCTGCAAAGATTGTTTTAATTGCTCAAGAATGTATAATAGATGAATTCCTCCTTTGTTAGATTTATAATAAATATTGTTCACAGAACGAGTATAAATTTATTAAGATATATATAGACTCCACACAGGCGTGATTTTTTCCAGAGGAAATTAAGTGGAAGAAATTAAATTACAAATGCTATAAACGAAAGTAAATTTTTTATATTTTATAATAGAATGAGGGGGATATCGTTTTTATCTATCTTCAATTTCGAATTTTGAGTGACATAAAAAAGATCGCGCCCCATATCCCTTGACTTGAAAAAAAAAAACGCTCACGTATCTCTTTAAGTATTGGACAAATTTACAGTGTGATATACGTAAAGAATGAGGAAGAGAGAGAGAAAATAAGGAGAGAAAGGCAGGACGAATAAAAATGTCTGAGTACGAGGGGACATTTCTTACGATCCAACGAGCAAATGAGGGAATTTGTGGTAAAATAGGGTGAACGAAAGTAGTCGACATCTAGATATACCGGAATAAGATGCCGTTGCTTTATTAAAAATAGCAGACCACAGAAACTTCTGATGAAATGTTTAATCTCTCTGCCGGCTTAAAAAGAGCACTGTGTAGTAACATATTAGCTTTCCTCTTTCTAGCAATGTTATTTAATACGATGAAAGTTTTCTGCGATTTTACGTGAACTCTTCAATTTTTGGTGAAATAATTTCGTTGTCTTTCCACATTCGACCGTATTTTTGCATCTATTTTAAATAAAGATTTTAGAAAATTGCCATTTTTTATTTTCTTTTGTTTTTTTTTAATTTCATCTTCTCTTCCGACTCCTATATCTGCCTTTATAATTTTACACGCATTTATTTTTTTCTAAATACTGTCGATAACATTCTTAACTCGGTTTGTAAAAGTTTTACTCTCTTAATTACTTTTAACTTTTCCAATTATTCCCGTTGTTTACTTTGTATTTCGATGTCATTATTCTTACGAGTTTCTAAAAAGCTTTCTTTATATATTTAAAAGTATCCGTCTATCAAGTTCGCTAACATTTATGTTGAACGAGATGGAATATCTCTTTAGCTGAATAATAACAAAGTATATTTCCGATAATATATACGCGCAGATTTGAGATTATTTTATACGCATTCGATATTCTGAACAATTCATTACATATTGACTGACATTTCTACAACACAATTTACGTATCGATTAGTTAATACTCTCTTTCTCGTTGCCGGGAGTAGTGTGCAACAATTGTATAAACGTCATTCACAATGCACGCTACAATCGTTCGTAACAATGCTCCATTATAAACATCGGGCAATTTCGGATAATCCAAGTCGCGTTTACCAGCGCGTGTCTGTCTTATGAAATGAAATCTAGAACATCCACTACACTTATTTAATAAATAATTATCGTACAAATAATGGAGATTTTCGCGTAACGCATACACTGAAGCTGTTATCAGTTACAAGCAGGATGCAGACGCTTGATAGCAATATATTCAATAAGAGAAATTTTTGAAGAAGCATAGCATCTCGCAACGTCTTGCGTTTTTAATTAAAAAAAATTACTCGCATTATTTGTATGGGATAATATTTATTTCAATATTGCCTAATAAATCATATGTTTGAAACAAATAAATATTTATCTGTTTTGACAAGAATTTTCTTATATTAAACAACAATTTTTCACATCAAATCAATATTATTAGTTTGAAATAAATATTTATTCGAATTCAATAAATTTTTTTCAGTGCACCTAATTATCTATGT